AACTTTGAGAGTTCGCGGAGACATCGAGCCGAAGTTGCTACCCACAACGGCGGTCGACATCCACTCAGGCGCGGGATTTGATTCTCGCGTGAGTTTGTCTTTCTATGCCCCCCCCCCCCCAACACACACCCCGCCGTGGTCGTCTTCACGTGTCGGATCCCCCTCCCCCCTCTCTCGGTTGTCTCCCTCGTTCTCAGCTGTCATTCGCTTTGTGTCCTTGCCGGCTTTGTTCGCCGTCACAGCTCCCAGCGGCGTGTGGTGTAGATTCACTCGTTTTATTACCGACGGTGTGATATTTCAAATTCGGTGAGGTCGATCTAATCAGCAGCTTTATCTTGTTCCTTCTCTTCCAGCCATTCCGTGTGTGTGTGTGGTGTCATATCATGCAGAATATATAGTAGTACACATGCGTTAATAATAATAATACGGTAGTGCTAAAAAAAACAGTGTCAGGATCCTGCCAACGTGGTGTGCATGCACAGTGGACGTCCTCGCCGTCACCTCCCATCGCGGCAGTTGAAACAATGGAGCAAGTTTCTTAACCCCCAGCCCCAGTGTGGGCACCCCCCCCCCCCCCCCTCTTACAAGACGTCTGGCCGGCGTGGAAAAGTCAAGATTCCGTCTTGATGTGAGCAAGCCGTTGCAGGGCAGCGCCTTTACCCCCCTCATTGTAACTGGATGTGTTTGCGTACGGACGGTGCACAATTAATGCCAATGCACGCATACAGCAGCAGCGGCAATAACAACAACAACAACACTTGGAACAAACGAACATTGCGTCTCGTTGTCCGTTTCACTTTGCTTTGGTCGGAGTCATTTCAAATCAAGCTGTCAACAACAATCTGCATTGAGTGAGTTCGGCGTTGGTGCCATGGGGAAGTAATGCATTCACGTGGTGGGCGTTTTGGAATCCAGGAGATGAAGATGCACAGAGGCCTGCAGACAAACGAGCGATTTTTTGCAGCATTTCAGACACCCACAGCCAACGTTCGAATCCCATTGCTTCAAGCGCGAGACACGGGTGCCGCGCGCAAAGTGAACGCGACATACGGTCCGTCCACGCACATAAATTAATGCCCCGGGTGTATTCGTGTGACAGTGCTCTGCACGCGACCAGATATACGATTCCATATTTGCTTCGCGTTAATGCAGTTTTTGCCAGAATGCAACAGCACCGTGTACGACGAAAGGAAAATTACTCAATAAAACAAATCTGGTAATTATATATTCGATAGAGAAGGGGTGGGGGGGGGGGGGGCAGCGATCTGATGAAGTTTGAGGTTTAAATCATCTCTGTGATCCTCCCACGTGCCAAGCCACCCCGGATTTAAGCAGGCAGGTGTTGTTGAGCAGTGTGGGCTGCTGACTTTCGCAATAAACAACGAGCAGTTGTCCCGGCATAGTGGCGCTTGCCTGTGATCCATCTCTTTGTAGCCAGAAGTAGGTGATTCACAGCCATCGTTTATTTCAGACTTCCAACATACAAATGACCAGGAACTTGCAGCAGGCAAGAAGGCTACTGGCCTGTGTGGATATTTGTTGGTGCTGTATATACATTTTACAGGCCCGTAGACACAAAAAAACAACAACAACATAAGGAGCAGGTGAAGCTTTCCACGTGGGACTATCGTCAAAACAAATGTCCCGGGAATCGGTGAAGCTATCCTGGACACGTAAAATAAGTCATGATCATTATTACCCTCTACTCTATACTCTTTGGTTCTTTCGGTAAAGTCACGTAGGTATACAATAAAATAATTTACGACGTTTCGATCGCAACACAAGCGGTCGTCCTCATGCGGAATAAATATCATCCAGCAGTAGAACTGCTGAACCCTCGATTCTTTCTCTGCACGTGCTGATGTTTTTCTTTTTCTATTTAAATTTCTGTTGCTGTTGCTACTGTGATTGCGCACCACGGAGCGGTATCATCCGCGTTCCGAAATCAAATAAACTCAATCACGAACTTTCCCCGGGACCAAATCACCAGAAGTGTTCCATCTCTTCAGATCTCAGACACCGAGCAGAGTTGAGCCTGGAGAGTGTTTGGTGGGATGGCTTCGGCGATGCAGCTGCATGGTAAGCAGCAGAAGGGATCGAAGCAAAATTCCTCGGCGTACTGTACACTATACTTGCATGCTCTTACGGCTATGCTGCCTGCCCTCATTAATTCACCGCTGGCACCTGCAGTAATGCAATTCAAGCAGTGGGAGATGGATGTGTTGCTGCGTGTGTGTGTGTTTTTATTTGGCCTTGACACCTGCACTCAAAAACCTGCGTTTGGAAATGGTGTTCCTTGTACTGCGGTCGTAGAGTTTGAAATTGTGCCACATTAATTCAGTTTTCCATCCATGTGTGAGAAATGGATATCAATTCGTGGTGTCGCTGTTCATGAATAAATTTGATTTACTTTGAAAAGTATAAATACTTTACTTTGAAAGTATAAACATTATGATGCCTCTGTGTTGTGCGAATATACACATTTTTATCAAACTAGATTCGAATTTATTTGTCTTGGTGTGTGTCTTTGTGTGTCTCTCTGCATGTGTGTCTGCCTGTGTTGTTTCCGTGTCTGTGTTTTATCATTCATTCTTATCTGATGATGGTTGCTTGTGTTGCAACCGAAACGTCGTATTCTCTTATTATTTGATTTTATTTTCTACGTGACTTTGCCGAAAGAACCAAAGAGTACACATTTTATTTTAATCGGTAGATATGTCTGAATGGGTAGCACTACAAGTAGGTTCAATGCCAATGTGTAATATGTTAGTGTTCTCCATAAGTATGTGTGTGGTCTACAGGTATCACATGTTCCTTCCTATGTACAACACTACACTAACTAGGTTTGAATAGACATCCTTAATGTAACATTCATAAGAGTAGAGACTCTGTTAGATATTAACGATTATAATTTACTTAAAATCGTTGAGTTATATTGACAGAAATATAGAGGAAAAAGTGGATTAAGAAAGCTAATGACATGATTCAAACTGTTAAGAACTTACTGCCTCGCCTGGTTTACAGGGGGTCGTGGTTTCAATTCCGACCCTGACGCCTGCTGTATATTTGGAGTTTGCGGTGTCTCTCTCCCCGTGGTCACGTGGAATTTTCTCCAGGTCCTCCGGGGTTTCCCTTCACATTTCTAAGCATGCATTAAGAGTATTTAGCTGCTATACATTTCCACATGATAAGCCACTTCGTTGAGCTATCATTTGTGGCCAGGTCGCTTCTGAAAAGAGCTATATAGCTCAGTGAGCCTTACCTGGTGAAATAAAAATAGTTTAAATAGTTTTAGTTTTTAGAATTGTCATTTTGGGAAGGACATGTCGTTAGAAAAGACGATGACCGACGGTCATGAATAATTACGGAGTGGAAGCCAATGAATGGAACGTATCAGAGTGTACCTCCACGGAGGGGAGATGGAGTGATGGACTCAACGAGTGTGCATGTATTAGGTGAATTGTTACACTGCAGGGTTGTGAGAGGTGGTGGCGACTCGGGAAGGCCATTCATACAGCAGTGGATTTTTTTTCCAAAGACTGACGATTATCATAATGATGGGAACTTCAACTGAAACAAACGTTATTCCCAATAGAAGGATTTCACAAAACCCTACGTCACGGGGATGCAAGAAACGTTCAGCTCGGAGGCAAAACAATCTTTGACGTCGCCTCTCGGTCCGCGTGGCCACTCAATCTTCACCGCTCGTCACGCGGACTTCTCCCGCGTCGCGACCTGCGCGGCTAGAAGAGTGGGAAGACGCCTTCCCCAAATTACATTCTCATGCGGAGAGTGAGGGGGGGGGGTACAGGGGGTGGGGGGTACAGGGGGGGGGTACAGGGGGTGGGGGGGTACAGGGGGTGGGGGGGAGTACAGGAGGGTGGGGGGGAGTACAGGAGGGGGGGGAGTGCAGGGGGGTGGGGGGTACAGGGGGAGGGGAGTACAAGGGGTGGGGGGGAGGGGGGTACAAGGGGGTGGGTGGGGGGGTAGCGGCTGCTTATCGCTCGCGTTTTGGGTGTCCGGGTCAGGATTTTTCTTTTTTTTGTCGCGCCGGCCAACGTGTCAGGCGGCCACGCAGCGGCGCGCTGTGCAATCGCGAGGCGTTGGGTCGACTTCAACTAACTGTGGGATTGCGAGACACGGGGGAGGAGAGTGCACCCACGCTCGCCATCTCCCCTCCGTCCGCCACGGTCGCGCCGCCACGACGTCGCCAACGCGGCGTGGCACTCGCCACGTGGCCGCTTTGCTGTAACGCGGCCTCCTGAAGGTCCATTCTTCACCCTTCATTGCCAAATGTTTAAATGTGAACTTCTAATAATAAGAAGAAAAATATCACGCGTGTAAGCGAAGATTCCCCAAAGCCGAACAATGACAAAGTGCCGTGGTCCTGTGTCGACTACAATCTACTTTCCTCTTTGTTCTCCCATGGGTCACGATAGTTCGCAGCATTCATAAGAGCAAGCCAATACATCTATCGTTATCACTTCTCAGTGGCATTGAGGGAAATAGGACTTTCATACACAGCATACTTACACACATTTCTGGCGACTTTAGGCACGCACTTTGATCTTTGGCACACTTAATGGAATGGAACGCGTCCAATCGGAGGCCCACCGGGGATGTGGAGCGGGTGCTGGAATGGATTATTCCAGCAATTAACCGTGAGAGATGACAGCGACTTTGCAAGAGCTACATCCAGCAAAGGAATGACCGTGGCTGACGATGACCATGACGTTGAAGACACTTAAAAGAACAAGTCTTCCAATCTGATTTCAAATATTCCGAGCGGCCTCGAGACGGCTCACTGAGGAGCCGCACCTCGCTCAGACTGCAGCGAGCCTGTCCGTTTTGTTTGGGGGGGGGGGGGGGGCAAAGGCACTTTGCCTCATTAGCAAAGTCACTTTGCTAATGAGGCGCATTTACATTGACAGCGCGGCGTCACGTTGCACCGAGCCTAACGACCACGTCCCCTTTGTTGTTGTTGTTGTTGTTGCAAACAGGTGACCGATGCGGCGACGCAGCTTCGCGAGTGGCCGGCTCAGTGGACCAAGGAGCAAGTGGCAATGCGGCCACGTGGCCCCCATCACGGCTGCTCATTTTCAGAATCGCGCCTTTTGCGGTGGCCGTCCCGCGACCTCGACTCGATGAAGAAGACAGCGTTCGCCGTTGATCTAAGGCCCCCCCGCTGCCTGGCGCTGAGAGAATACAAATGGGTTTAGGAGCCCTTCGATGACAAGCGGCTGAATTCACCCCTCTGAAAGTGGACACCAAAACAGATTTTGTGTCGGCTCACTCGTTTTGAACGTAAGAAAGGAAGGGGAACACAATTACTTTGCTGCACACGGCAAGCATCTGGCATGTTAGGCGACTCGTGTGGTCATCTCCAAGCACGCCGAGATTTCTCTGCATGCATCCTTCTCTAATTGGCTTGAAGGAGAGTGATAACTGTTGAGCGCTCACGAATAAACCACACTTGCCGGTGGTCCCTGGAAACCCATGCACGTGCTGGGCGGAAATCTGAAGAAATACATCATAGAGATGCCTTAAATCTGTGTCATGGGAACTTCTAAATGATTCCATTGCCCTCCCCCCACCCAAGCAGCACAGAGCCTTAAGAAAAGCCTTCAATAAAAATGTCAAGGAACTAATTGGATTGTGCGGCACGTCCTTGAGAGTGGCAGATGAAAACGGAGAAGGGAAAACGCCGCCCAGGTTACTGAGGTGGCTGCGTTTCTGACGTGGCCACGAGAAGACGCGACCCCCGCCGGTGTGGACAGCGGCAGCTGGCATGGAGCCGAGGGGGCCACGCGGCTAAAGGTGCGCGCACGCTCTGTCCTTTCGTGGAATGAATAAGTCAAAGTCAACACCGATATTAAACTTTTATAAAGCGCCGTGTGTAATCGTAAAATGACATCCCTGTTATTTTAAACGGTGCACGTTAATTTACGTCCGAATTAGAATCTGTTTACAAAGGAAAATGTTACAAATCGCGAGAGAGCGGGCGGAACGTGACACATTTTAAATTGATACCCGTGGGATTTTCCATGCCTGCCGACCGACTTCACTTTCTTCCCCCTGCCGCCGATTGCTCTCTCTGGTGAAGCACCTGGCAATGGAGAGGAGGAGTAAGGGGACACGGACGGAATAAGCAATGCTATGCGAGGCATGGACCCGTCTGGAGAAGCCGGCACATACTCCGACACGTCACTGGGAAGCACACGTTTGAGCTCCTGCAATGGAACAAAGTGCAGGCGTTCGGAAATAACATCCGGCGTTCCACTCCTCTGACCAGCGTCTGTCAGGTACTGCTATCAGTTTCGTTTTATTTATCTATTTTCTTACAGCGACTATCGTCATTATTATTACGAGACTTTTGCCCGTCCAAGGACGGGTGTATTGCAGTAAATGTGAAACTTGCAAGCGAAAAGCAGACCGCGACGTGATATTCATTGCATCCATTCACGTACAATCTGTAAGGCTGTGGTGACACAGACCTATTTCATTTAAAGGTTATAATCCCTTGTTCATCAAGACGTCCTTTTTACTTCGATGTCTCAACAGCGTCACGGAGATCACGTGACGCGAGGGTTCTGCCTTTGTCGTGAGGGTTGTGAGTTGACGCCGAGGAGGGAGGAGGAGGCGCCTCGCCCCCCACGTGGAGTGACGTCACCCGCTAATTATTATTAATGGAGCGGGGGTGTTCATTTGGAGGACGTCACCTGCTCATGAATATTAATCAGAAATGCTGGTCAATGTGGAGTGACGTCACGAGCGTTGCACACCATCCCATTATAGTAGGTAATAATAATGGAAGGGGGGGGGGGGTTGTCCATTGGGAGGGCGTCACCTGCTCATGATTACTAACCAAGGGGGCTGTTCGATGTGGAGTGACGTCACCCGCTCATGATTATTAATGAGGGGTGAGAGGGTGTCCATTTGGAGGATGTCACCTGCTCATGAATATTAATGAGGGGTGCTGCTCGATGTGGAGTGACGTCACGAGCGTTAAGGACATTCCTGGGTGATTGTAGGAGGTATTATTACCATCGTCGCCATCAGCCATGATCACTCCACTGCTGGATGAAGGTCGCTCCAGGCCCCTTCATCTCTCATGGCCCTGCAGTGTAAGTCGGCCTTGTATCGGCGCACGAGCCCATCTCATCGCTCCACCTCCTCAGATACATGCGTACGAGGCATGCACTTTAATTCGTGCTGTGCACAAGTAAACCAGACAACGAGGAGGTGAACTATTTTTGTCGAAGAAATCCGAAATGTATGTTGGCGGGAATGGTTCGCGCACTGCACGATTATTCCTGTCCATGGCGAACATCAGTGGCGATTGATATCTGAACCGACCCTGTCCACCCCTTTGACCAGCATGTAATCCACTGACAAGAATGGTGAAACGTCGTCGTCATCTGAGACATGCCAGACAGTTGTGTGCTTGCCTACCCAAGGCTGCCATTTTTGTAAGTCACTTAACTGAAAGTCCGATTGTGAAACTAATCACGTGGCATTTTTACTTTTATTAGTAAGTACTGTAATATTTTTACGCAAATTTTGCTTTGAAAATAAGTATGCGGTAAAAATGGTTTGAAATACCGGCTAGCCTATTTCTCAAACCAGTGTGGTTGGGGAGTATGCACGCGTGGCGTACGGCTGCTTTAATTCGCACGGCATTCTGGGGGATTAGTTTCTGTTTCTGTAGTTTGTTTACAAGAGGATGTTTACAAGAGGATGTTTACAAGAGGATGTTTACAAGAGGATGTTTACAAGAGGAAAGTAGATTTCCTTCCTGTTAATTCCCTTTCAACTATAAAAAAGAGAAAGGGATCCATACCTGAAGGACCATATGTGGACCGTATGAAAGAAGCAGAGCCCAGCTGCTGGATCAAACTCGGCAGATGTGTGAAATGTTTAACAAGAGTGGTACTATTTCACATATCCGTCTCCCTTGTACAGCCCATCGGCCACACGGCCGTCTGGGAGTGCATCATTTCATGGTTCAATTTTAGCAAACTCTGGAGCGGATTCGCCATAGAGTGTCACATCAGCAAAGTCAGGCTTGCTTGACTCAATGCTGGTGAATTGCCGATGTCACAGGCAAGGATTCTCTCCCTTTATGATATGGGTCCGAGTTCAACACAAAACTGTATAAATATTAAATGTTTAGACAAACACGAATAACTTTCATTTTGGAAGGATGACTCTATAATCATCCAATTAAAAAAGCGAAACAAAACCGATTTTAAGAGTCACAGATCCATTAGCCTCTCTTCGTACGTTTACAAACAGTCCGCGCGGCTCAGAGTGAACTTAACAATGGTCAATTTAATGGCCAACCGAGCGAGCAAGCCGATTTTCGGCAAGGTTTTCTCTTTAGATTCCAGAAGAAGACAAGCAAATATCAAATTGCATTATGCTTGGCTTTCGTAGACTCTGAACAGGTATTTGAATCAATATAAACAGATTCGCCTTCATCCGGCAGTGACTGATGATGATGAGTAATAGAGATTGCTAGCCAGTGCGTTAACAAAAGATGCACATTGCATGATATCAAGGGTGCTCAATGGCACATTTAAGAGGTGTGTTTTAAACACAAAGGAAATGATCATCATTAATCATTCTTTAATTCAAGGCACACTTGGTGAAGCATTAGATATGGTTACTCTATTTTAAATAAAATAAAAATCTGATAAAATAACGGAGGGGATTAAATGATATGCATATAATACTCGAGAGATATATTAACTTGCGCAAAATGAGCATGGCTCAGGTTTTCAGGAAACGAAGCGCCAGGTGTGCTCAGGTGCGTTTAAAAGTCAATTGCACGGAAACTTATCAATCTAATTGACCGTCTTGGCTGTGTTGCGCGTGGACACTTGTACGGCGCCAAAACTGGCAGCTCGTTTTGGGCAATCAAAGTCAAAAATTATTTTTTAATGGTGCAAGATAATAAGCTTACCTCCGTATGCTGAATCACATTAAAACATATTCGGTGAGAATAAATTATCCTCTTAGCTTCTTCTGTGGATATTAAATTGCCTGCATAGTCATGCAAATCGGTTATATCGCTTTTCTAAACGCGAAAACTGGAAATGAGCAATTTGCAACGATCGTTTGAAAATGCCTGAAATAGAGAAGTAGAGAGAGAGAGAGAGAAAACCCACCGTTTGGTCGAATCTGCGCAGCTTATTCCAGACTGGAGGTCTGGATCAGAATTGGGCAACTGCTCTTTTTAATTTGGCACACATTGCATCCATCCAGTCCACTCTGTATAATAATGATTGCGATGCCAGGGAGGTTAACTAGGTGCACAGAGTGGTGTGCCTGATTTGTGGATGTTTGGAGAGATGTTGACAGGATGCGTGTGTGTGTGTGTGCAAGTGGTAAAATGCACTCGACTACCAGCTAAGCTATTGGCTAACTAGGTTAGATTCCTGATTATGCCTAACATCAGTGGCAATTAGTATCTGAACTTGACCTGAGATATTCCAGAGTTAGACCAACAAGGAGTACACGATGTATTTTCAAGCTAGGCTTTGTGAATATAATATTTCAGGTAATAATTATTTGACATTGCCTCCAGCCTGCCTTGGCTTAATGGTTGGCCCTCTTGGCTTGCATTCCAGAACTTCCCAGTGTTCACCTTCAGTTGAAACAACGTCGCAACGTTCTTGAGTTTCCCTGCTTCAGTCCACCAGGCAGGAAAACCTCGTGCACACCGCAGGTCACGTGTGGTGGGATAAATTGTGGGTACTCCGACATCTTCCGAAGACGTCTACCCTCTTGAGAAGAGGGGGGCTTATCTTCTTGGTTCTTTCGGTAAAGTCACGTAGAAGGGAAGTAATAAAATAATAAAAATAAAACAATAAAATAGTTCTCACGACGTTTCGGCCACAACGCAAGCAGCCGTCCTCAGGTGAAGAAACAGGTCTGTCGAGAAGACAGCGTCTGAATGAAGGGGGGGGGGGGGGCTCTAAAAAACATTTTTTCGGAGACCATGAGCAAGACATTTTAGGGCCGCAACTTTTACCTCCATCTCATTACCAGAGGGATGTCAGCCGTTGATTCATGTTTGAATGCCCTTTTATGGGCTCCCCACTTTTTTTCGCCCCTGCCTAAAATCCCTCTATTCCCGCGTAACCTTAAGTAATGGTGTCTGCATATAAATGCTATGCTAACACATTGTGGCTATATAAATTGGAGTGTCCGGGCAAAGAGTGATGGTCCAGTCGCCGCAAGCCACGGTGTGTCCGACACCCCGTGATCTGTGGTTTAATTCTGGCCTCCAGGGCTGAAAATTCCAACAGTTTCAATTGGCCTCTGTGTCTGCGCGCAATTGACTCGGCCTTGAAATGAGTCTGCGATTCTGTACGCCAGCTCATCTCCCCGGGGGTGGGGGGCGGAGCAGCGGTGGGGGGCGAGCGAGAAGAGGCAGCGGAGTGCGCCGTTCGCTCGCCCACCTCGGGGCGCCGAACAAGTTGCTCGTGGCCGGCACCCACCCCCCTGCGGCCTCTCGCAATCACCGGGGCAGATTGGGTGGCCCGGCCGTTGCAGCGGTGCGTTGTAAAGACCCTGCTGCGTTCCACTGCGCTGCAGGTGGAGAGCGTGGTCACGGGCGTAATGATGGCAATTTCACTCGCCGAGGCCGTGTGATGGGAACGGCAAAGGTAAAGCATTCGCCTATTGATTTCCTCGGCCGAGTTTATTTACTACGAGATACGCCGTCCTCGTGGGTGGCCAGTGGGAGTGGGGGGGGGGGGGGATTCCACATTCCCACGACAAGAGGTGACGCGCTCGACCGGACAACTGCTACATCTCTCCGACGTGTTTCTTCGGGTTGTGCCGCGTGAAGTGAATTCGGCTCCTGAAGATGCTCCCAGCAGTTGTTGGGAGTGAAGTGTCGGACTTCGTGCCGCAACAGCACGCGATGAGCCCCGAACGCATGCGCGGAGAGCTGCACAGGACCAGCCGAGGAAACAACAACTCTCTCCAGTGCAAGTACCAGAAGGGCCACTCTCTTCCTGTGGAGGGAGTGTAGTTCTCCGCGCAATCTAATGTCTATTTCTTCTTGGTGAAAATAAAGATTGAATTTTGAGCAAAGTGGCACCCATTCGATCAGAGGGATGATGGGCTCAGCGGGGGTTTGAGCTCACAGCCTTATGACTGTGAGACGAGCACTCGAGCCACAGCACCATGTGGCTGAATCGTTTTTGTTTGCCCCAGGTCTCCCACTACCCCCCTCGTTGTATAATTGCGGTAGAGAGCCTGGCTTGTTTGTTCATGCCACTGTGTGCCT